ATTCTGAACCGCTGCAATGTCCTCTTTTTTCACTGCTTGTTTCCCCTGAATTTATTCCAGATGAATCCTTTACACTATGTTTGGCAGCAATGAAAGAAATAAATAGCTGAAAATAGGAAAGAAAGCAATGGGGAAAAGAGAAATAGATAGGAAGTATGGTGGATTTTTGAGTTGTTTGGATTGAGAGAAATAGAAGTGAAATTAAAAAGAAATAATATTGTAAAGTTGCTTGATTTGGATTGAAGAAGAGGAGAGAAATAAGATTAGAAATAAAATTACTATTTTAATCTTTATATACAACATTTAACCTGCACGAAATAGAAACAATTAATTATCAAATATAAGACTACCGATTAACAAATTGAAACCACATAAATCGGTTACAAAACAACTCGATCTCACAGTCTAGCAAAGAATATTTTTAGTGGGACACACCACTTTTACATTTCTCTCAAAATCAAAACTAGAACTGATAAGGATTCTAATACACAACATTGTGTAAAGACAAAAGCCATAAAATTCAAATTTAAAAAAGATAAAGTAATCCTAATTTTTATCAGCCAAAATTTATGCCATTTTCACACAAATGTATCCAAAATCAAAGACTTGAGATATTGTTCCAACTACCTGTCCTATGTATTTTTGTATCCTAATATTGAAGTTAGAAAATGTATCATTTCAAAGTACTGCCAATGCTAATTCTGCTGCAAGAATATAGTACTATGCTAGCAATTATAACTATTTCTTGGTTGTCTTATGTGTCTCTGTAAAAAGGGTTACAAGCTAACTAAGCAGGGTAAAAGTATCATCAAGATGGGATGGAGGCAAGTCACCTCTGAGACAGAAGGACAAAAAATGTCATCTGATATGACCAATACAGATACAGAAACACCAAAGAGTTTTGAGTCATCTGTATCGCCAGAACATCTTTTGTTTGCGAGAGAGGTGAGTTAATTTCCTTTTTCTATCTTTTTATTTACTTGAAATTGAAATGCTCCTATTGTAGTATTTTTACAATTACAAGTCCTTCACAGCCGAGTCTTGGGCTTGAGTATGCTGTGGTTGGACTGATTCTAAACAGGAAGTGGGGACTGTAAGTTGTCAGTTTTGTCATCTTCTGAAGTAGACATGAAGCTATATTGAATACTAATCGATCTTAATTGGATGGACGTTTCCTAATCCTTCCCTCCTCTTTTCCCCAAGGAAAATGATGTATTGATCTTTTTATCTTTTGTAGGTAAGAGGTTCTGTACTTGATGATGATGATACGGACTACAGATCTTTGCAGGAAGGATATGTGAGTATATATAAATTAGAAAAAAGAATTTGAATACACATGTACTAAGCATTTTCATTTTTTTAGATTACTGTTACTCCCCTTGCTGCTCTCTCTCATGCGGAGGTAAACTGTCAGACCTTTTTTAAGAATTGGCTACAAAGTGTCCCTGAACCCTCTCCATCATCTTTATGATGCTGTAAGTCCTATCATGTATTTGTTGTTCATATCACAACTTATATTGAAGTAATATACACAAGGTCTTAACTTTGAGCTATTACTGTCATTGGAATTCTTATGGATCTAAAAAAAATAACAGCTTAGATTGCAACATATATTGCTAGCTATAGCTTCTACATTTTTAGCATCCTTGCTAGTTAAGAATTATTCTTATGAGATGAATGGAAAATTTTGGCAAACTTTAATATAATTTAAATTACATCAGTACAAATAACATTTGGGTACCAATTATACCGAATTTATATAAGGGTCATTATAGACATATATCTACTTTCTCTTTCATCTCATTTTCACGGTTTTTTTTTTCTTTCTTTTTAACTCTTTGCATTTCCGTCACACTACTTATCACATATTTTACTTTCTCTCTACCGTTTATTTTCCTTCATATAATGCCCATGTACTTGAGGGTTCATGAATTCATAGGTTTTGTCATTCTATTCCAATACAGTTACTACCAAGAGTCAGTTTGATTTCCCCATAAAATTTGGAATAAACAATTTGGAATGGTTTTTTCATACAGAGCTCGTCCCTAACTTTTTCATCTTCATTTTTAAGGTATTGACCCTAAATTTGGATCATCAACGGCAACTTTTCCTGTTATTTGCAAAATCAGGAATAAAATTAATGAGTCAATGTATAAGTTGAACATTTGTCTATTAGGATATGACCTCAAGATAGGAAACTGGATACTTCCTCTTGTGAACGTGATCCCTTGTGTGCCAATCCAATACTACAATTTATCCGAGTACTGATGCAAGCAGTGGAACCAATTTGTTTAATTTTGATCGTGAATATATAAGGAATTGCTACTTTTCTTCACGTGGATAAAAAGAATGACAAAAAATGTCATTTAGTTTTCTTTTATAAAAGTATAACAAATATGTTAAATTATAAAAATACATTGAACCATGGTATTGATACATCATCAGTTGTTTTATTTTTTGTAAGGGTGGCTTCTAATGTTTTATTAGAAGCTACACCTTGGCAATTAAACAGGGAGGCAACATATTCAAATACTTGAGATTTGGCTCTATTAAAGTAAATAGTTCACTTTAAAGAGAAAAAGAAAGGAATCTCAATTGTATTAAGGGAGTAGATCATCAATAAATTCATGATTTTTACGACCATTGAGATTCCTTTTTTCCCCTCTAAAATGAGGGACTCACTTAAGGGGTCAAACCCAAATAATTATTATGCTCGCCATGATAAGCATTTATATAGGGCACATTCTGCTCTTGCATATCAGTTCAATACAATAGTCAAAATATTGGTACCCTGTGTAGCTCATTAAAGTTGCCTCCCGTGACTCAGTTTAGCATCATTTTTCATGTGATCAATTATAACATTGCCTCACCTCATTTTTTCATGGGTTGTGTGACTTGTGAATGCTTTTTATTTGCAGATTACTTTGGTTCACTGGAAGTTATGTCAACTCAATCTGTTGCTAAATCAATTAGTTAGATCCTGAGCAATATGGTTGCTCCGGTATCCATGCCATTGCTCCATTATAGTCATGGGGCAATAAAGACATTTCAATAGTGTTATATAATTGAATGAGAAAGCTTATTTTCTGCGATTTATTTAGTAAAACATATGACTCATTTTTAGATTGATTAACAGCAATTCTTCTTCCACCTGAATTGCACAGGTTGTTGTTTGAATGGATAAAAACTTAATCTAATGGAAATTCAAATTTCCTCTCTTAAGTTACGTAGATGCCATATCTCGTGCATATATTTTCCGCTTAAAATGGAGTTGCCAAAAACGCTGATTAACGAATATATGCTATGTTTGATGGAAGTTAACTCGTGATTAGTCATTGTTGGAATTTGTGCTATCTTCACGTATTCGTTTGGTTATCTTTTTCCCCCTACCCTTAGTTTCCGTCGTTGATCGTGTCACTTGTCAGGGTTTTAAGGAGCCTGGTAATTAACAAATAGTATTAAAAATAGGGTAAAATATATCTATGTTACTTCTAAAAATTTTCAAATTTGATTTTAATCCTTCTAAATTATTTATCTTACTTTAGTCCATCTATTTTGAATAACACTACTGATTTTGATTCTCAAACAGTAGTTTAAATAAGGTTTTATAACCATTTTTAAATGTTGTTTAAAGTACTTGAATGATTGAAATTCTAAAAGTGATGCATTTTGGAATTAGAAGAACTAAAATAGAATGAAAAATTTAGAGAGGTTAAAACTGAATTTTAATAATTTTAAAGGCAATAAAAATATATTTTACCTAATAAAACAAACAAAAACATTTATCTTATTATTTAATCTTAACGGTGTCTTTTAGCCTGTGTCGTACAGAGGCAATGAAGTGGAGTATGGATTGTAGGGTGAAAGCCCATCAAAGAGAGCAGATGGGTCATATAATTGAGTCCAAACCAAAAATTGCACGCAGACTGCATTAACTTCTTTTCAGTTTTCGTAACTTTTTTCAGTAATAGTTTTGATACTCTCTTCCACCATCCATTTTCATTGCCCCGTGAGTACTCTTTTCTACACTTATCACTGATCCCTTCTTATCCACAAATCTCATGATAGCAAATTAAACACCTATTTTGTATGCAAATTCAGGTTTATTTTCTTCACAAAATATAAAAATATCTCATTTTAAATATTAATTTCTTAATAAAGTAGTATTAAATATTTACGTTCATCTTTTGGTAAGAAGTTATTATAGCTTAAGTAGCGGTATACGTTTAAATCTTGAATTAAATACTTGAAAACTAACTCTAGCAACTTTGTTACCTTCAAAGAGCACGTATTTTTCTTCTTTACTAAATTAATCAAAATTCTTTTCATTTGTTAAAATTTCAACGAATCGTGATTCGTGCCTAAGAACTAATTATGAAATTGGTTAAAATCATTAAGATATGACAAGGCATACACCGGTTTTTAAAATAAAAATAACATTTTACTATATATTTTTTTATATTATAACTTTTAACATGTTTATTTTAAAAAAAACTACCACAAAGATATCTTACAATATATTTTAGTTTTTCTTCCCTTCTTCTATAAGCGAAGACATTTAACTTGTAAAAATCTTATATATTAAGAATAATAATAATATTGTTTATAATATAATATATAATTAAGACATCAATAATAATAATAATTTAATGATATTTATGATTGGCCAAAGTATAATTTGGCACAACTGTAACATTAATGACTGAAGAATGTTTAATTAAATGGAAACGTTGTAGAATGTCAAAATTTCAAGTAGGCTCATTTGTAACATAAATGATTGATGAATATTTAATTAAGTCAAAATTTAATATTGGTGATTGACCAAAGTTAAATAAAGCTCAAGTGTAACAACCAAAGTTCAATGAGGTTGAAATGTTATACAAATGGTGAACTGAGACCCAAATTAGACACCTATAGTGATTGTTTTGACAAATCTAATTAGATTGAAGTGTTATAATAATGATAAATCAAGGCCTAATTAAGTTCTCCTATAATACTAATGATTGATCCAAACTCAATTAGATTGTAGTGTTATATATATCAACGATAAACTAAAGTCCAATTAAACATAATTGTAATAATATTAATTGACTAAGGTTTAATCGGAATGAAGTCATATGTTAATTATTAATAATAATTAGCTAGATAGATATAGATGTTTAAACATTTTTTTTAATTAATGCAAAGATTATTGGGCTATAATACATATAAATATCGAATTAACCAAAAAAATCATAAATATTGAAATGAAAAATGCCAAATAATGTAAATTAATGTGGTCCGAATGAAATGAAATATCTCACGGTCTCTCAGCCACGAATACCAAAATCAAGCTAGAGTATCTACCATTCAAATCAGCGTTCATTTGTTTTAGGTAATGTAAAATTAGGGTTTAAGAAAACCTAGCTTGAGCTAGCATTGGGGTTATATCCCATATATATAATAATTCGAAATTATGATAAATCTAAAGTTTCCTCCGCGCATATATATATATATACCAATAATAAATTAATTTAAACAAACATGTCTTTTAAATATTATATATTACGTTGTACGTAATTAAAGAGTTGGCGAATTGCAAAAGAACTAGTCAAATATAAATCTCGCTTCACTCGATCGGTAGTGGTAGACATATATTTGAGTTAATAACTTATACACTGCTAGTATAAATTTTTTTTACACTAATAACTAATTAGATCTTTTAATTGTGTCATATCACCAATGACAGATCCACATACATCTTAATGGGGGCAGTTGCCAGTTGCCCCCACTAACTTTTCAGTTTTTCCTTTTTAATATATATAATATTATATTATCTTCATTTAAAATCTAAAAATAGAAATAAAAAATTAAAAAAAATAATAAGTTATAAAATTACAACTGAATTTGAGTCTTGTTACACTTATCTTTGTGTGAGAAGAAAGATTTAAAAAAATATATTTTAATATTATAAAAATTAACAATAAATTACATTTTTCAGAAAGAAAAAAAAAAGTTGTTATGTATTTAAATTGTAAATCAAGATAAAAAATTATAAATTAATAATATGTATTTTAAGTAAAAATAATCCTAAATTATTATTAACCTCTTTTTGGATATTTTATATATTTTTTTCTATTTTATTTTTACTTTTTTCAATTCTATTCATATTTTGAGATTCCCTTCTACCTCTAACATATTTTAAAGTGTAGAGGGGTGAAATTAGAAAGAAAAAAAATAAACAAACTTCTTCTTCCATCTCTACTCCTTCATGTTTTCAATAACTAAACTATATATTTAAAGTGATCTCTGAGGTTAATGTATTTAAAGTTATTATTTTTATATTACTTTATTTGAATTATTTTTTTATTTTCAATGAGAAATTCAGTATTTTAATTTATTTACTCATTCTATTTTTATGTTTAGAAGAAATATCGTATGTTATGAACATTACATTAATTAAAATTATATTGCTTTTAGTTATAATAATGAAAATGTATTTTAGAAGAAAATCATCTTCAGAGCAACCATCTTCTCCTCGAATACATGTTGAAAAGAAGTAAAATTGGGTCCATCAACCAAAAAGATATTTTTAGAATGTGATTTGGAAAGACTTCCTGATGATCCTTGTTTAAGGCCAAAAATTTCAGATTATCATCCAAGTGATAGAGATGAAGTTAGAAGGGATTGGTGATCTTTCTATGAAACTTCTGGAGACAAGAAAATATGTTGTATATTCATTGGTGTATTTGCTTTTAAAGCTAGCCTTGATACTACTAGTGACATCTGCATTAGTTGAAAGAGTTTTTTTTGCTATTAATATCATCAAAAATCGGATGCGAAATCGTATAGGAGATGAATAATTAAATGATTGTTTAGTTACTTATATAGAGAGAGAGGTTTTTGATAATATTAAAAATGAGCAAATCATTTAATATTTTTAAACTATGAAAACTCTCGTAGAGAACAATTATGATACGTATTTGTCTTTATAGAAATTTTATTTTATATTTTGACAAATTTATATATTTTTAAATATTACCCCCTACTACTTAAATTTTATGGATTCGTCATTGCATCTCACTGTTAAAAATAAATGTGTTTATAGTGATATGGCACAATTAAAAGATCTAATTAGTTGTCAGTATAAAAAAACTTTACACTGACGATGTATAAGTGATTAACTCTATATTTATTTTCATTTGTTGTTGCATGCAACTCAGTTGCAACAAAAAAGAAATCTATACCAAGAACTTGGGTAATATATATATTAACTACATCCATTAATTAAACATAGCATATTAATTATAGCATTTAAATGATTAATCATTGATATAGTAATTTCGCAGAATCTCCTATGAAATTGACTGGACATGGATATAAGGAACATTCCCTATAACCTCTTAAGCAATGTGAACAAAATGAAACCAAAAAGTGGACTTTCCTATTTTCCATTTCTAACCCAAAAACACTATTGACGGTTCTTTTACACGCAAAGGAAGATCAGAATGCACAAATCCACAGCCCAAAATTCACCACTGACAGTAGACAGTAGTCTTACGTAGAAAGACACTAGATAGCCTGCCATGCATGTACATCTCAATCCTAATCTAAACATTTTTCCGTACAAAAGAAGAAAACACGAGATATTCTAACATATTTCAAGAATTAATGCTATATTATTTTAATAAAAACATATCATAATCAAATTAAATTAGGACAGTAATAACATTAATCAAAATATTACTTTTAAAATATATATTTCGTGAAGTACAATAACCTAACATATATGACTACATCCCGTGATGTCCGTTCATATGTCTGAGTCTTGGTTTTGGCCTTTTATCACTGAAAAATTATATTTACACAATTTTTTTTTACAAAAGAAATGTATAACAAACAAAGAAGATAAAAAAGGTAATGCAGCAAGATTCACATACAACACTGTTTTTTTACATCTATTTCTCTTCATCCCATTATTTCCATTATTTATTACATATCAATCTTTTCTCTTTTTTCTAGTGGTGGTAAAATTTGTTTTACAACTTAAATTTTGGCCAAAACTTAATGAGATTGACATCTCTGAACAAATACTCTTTCATACACACAAATTTGATCTTTAACAAATGCTTAAAAAATGATAGTTATATGTCAAATACCACACCTTGCCGGTATCATTTTTCATAAAATAGAGGAATAAAAGGAAAACATTATTGTTATATATATACCTTTGCAAAATGACTGTGTACTTACTTGTTTGTTACTCTAGCAATGCTACGGGGCCGATATGGGTGCAGCCTTTTTGCACATGTGACATGCCCAAATCCCGCTTTCATGGTCCATACATCGCAATAGAATTGTCAGCATGAAAATTCAATGCCGCTGCAGCGTGAGGAATATATGTATCAGTATCACATTTCTGATAAATCATACTCCAAAGTCCTAATCAGATCACACTACCATAATATATTTACATTATATCATAATAATATCACATGAATACAATAAGGCCACGTCTTTTGAGTTTTGACAGAGACAAGGATATAAAACAAACAAGTGGATATGAATGTATACCGTGTAATTTTTTTAAAAAGAAATTATATGATGAGCTCGTTTGATTAAGCAGTCGTTTTCCGTTATGAATCAGTAGTGTCGGACGCATCATTGCTGTGGTGACCCATTGAATAAAAAAGAAAACACCGCAACCTCGCATACTTTTCCCGTTTTTTTCTCCCATATAACTCAGTTTGCATGCAGCTATATATATATATATATATATTTCTCTTGTAGTTGGAAATTGATCATTCACTAATGCATTAGCACCACTTTTTGAAGTTGGTGTTTATGGAAATGAGTAAGAGAGTCGAAGCAGTTCTTGAACTCATCAGGAAACAAACCCCGCTCACTCTTAAACAGGTTGCGTGTAAAACGGGGTTCTTGGTCTGATGCATATGTTATGTGTAGTGTGGTTCTTTCTGTTCATAATTTGTTTGTGTGTAGGAGAAGTATTGCAACTATGCTTGTGTGGAACGATTTCTGAAAGCAAAGGGGGATAATGTGAAACGCGCTGCCAAGCAACTCAGGGCATGCCTTTGTTGGAGAGAGAGTATAGGCATTGGTAAACACATATATACATATAAGATCACATTCTCATTCTTTTGCAAAAGCATTTTAATAGTTTTGTGATTATTGTTATTCTTTAAACAATATTACAGAGCATTTGGTGGCAGATGAGTTCTCAGCTGAACTCACTGATGGGTTGGCGTACGTGGCTGGTCATGACAATGAATTCAGACCCGTAATGGTAATATTCTCATTTCTGACCCCTTCTGTTCTGTGTTTGGGTGTGTGTAGCTTTTTGCTCTCTCTTATGACTTGAATTGGGGTAACAGATTTTCCGGATGAAGCAAGAGTACCACAAGTTTCATTCCCAGAAGATGTAAGTCCCCAAACAGAAGAGAAGAAACCTTTTGTTAATTTCTTCATCTGCAGGTGGTAGAGCTAAACCGTGGTTCTTCTCTATCTCAAGGTTCACTCGTTTGTTGGTGTTCACAATGGAGGTGGCCGTTTCGACCATGCCAAAATACGTACAACAATTTGTCATGCTTTTCGACGCAAGTAAGTACGTCCAGCCACAATTCCCGTAATGCCGTTTCAAAAAACAACATAATTTTCTCCTACAATCACCCTTATTGCTAACCTAGCTAATTACTATGATTTAAGGAGTTGACTTTGGTAATTATATACTATATGTAATGTATATACTATATACAGAGACAGGGTTAATTAATAAAATAATTATGACATAGGATTATTTGTATTTGAGAGATTTATTGAATAAAGCATAAGGAGACGTTTGGTTGCAGGCTTTTACAGATCTGCATCTGCTTTTATGAACTTCCTATTGGCAGCACTGAAAATAACGGGGGAGTACTACCCTGGCCGCCTACATAAAGCGCTTATCATAGACCCTCCCTCGCTCTTCCCTTACCTGTGGAAGGTAAACAAAATAAAATAACCAATGCAATGCAACTAAATAGAGAGAGAGAGAGAGAATGATTGTGTGTGGTGCGGGTGCAGGGTGTGGGGGCATTCGTGGAGCTATCAGCATTAACAACAGTGGCGTCATCGTTGGATATCGAAGATGATGATGAATCGGCAGAATCGAGAGGAATAAGGGGGAAACCAGGTTCATGCTCCTCTTCGCGCTTCGCCTTCACTGTGTCGCATCACGTTGACTCGCTCAAGCCCTGGTACCTGAGCCTGTCGGACACGTCAGCACCGAGCCTGCCGCCTCCGCCGCATCGGACTCCGCAGGCGTCGTTTCTACGATCGCCGGCGGGAATGTTGTTGTTCCGGCGCGGAGAGAGGTCCCGGTGCCGGGAATCGTTGTTGGCGTATTGGAAGCTTTACCGAAGGCCATACGATGAAAGGGTTTACAGGTCAAAGATGCGGCCCCCACTCATCGTTAAACGACGCCACCTTTCACTTTCTCAGCGTTTCTGAACCTAATCACTCCCATCTTCTTTTCTTTCCCTATAATATCAAAAGTACATTCACCACTACTGTATTTTCTGCAAGTCTTTTATGACTACAAGAGTGCTCTCTACGTTTTGTGCGCTGAAATGGAGTATGTTGTTCTATTACCGTGACCAAATAATTGCATCTTAAACAGACGTTTTGTACTTGGCAACATGCAAAGAAATATCATATTACTTGTTCTGTCATATGTTTAGGAACCAAGTTGGCCATCTTAATTGTATTTGAAAGTAAAGGCGATGACCCATTTTTTCTAAATAAAATCTAATAAAACCAAAACAGAAGAGAACACAGAAACATACATGATTCATGCAGTGAATTAATTTTAAGTCTTCTGGTTCAAGTGAAGGCTTCAAGAATTATTTACTACATTTTCTAGAAGCTAAAGCACAACATTGGCAAACTATATGGCTTGGTATGCCATCATTTGATCATAAACCAAAGGAGGAACCCCAACTTCCACAGTTCCATCAAGCATTTGCATCACCTGCTTCATTGAAGGTCTAAGAGCTGGATTTGGATGAACACACCATAGTCCAACCAAGGCCATTTGCTCAAACCTTTCGAAATCATTCAGCACTTCTGAGTCATGTCTCACCACTACCTCTAGTTTTCTAGACACCACACACCTTAAAACCCAATTTGAAAGAACCAAATCATCATCTTCACTGTCTCCTTCATCCTGACAAGACTCAAAGTGCTTCCTGCAGCAAATAATCTCCAATAGCATAACACCAAAACTGTATATGTCAACTTTGGCAGTTATTGGTGCACTCTTTAGCCATTCAGGTGCCATATACCCTATTGTCCCTCTTAAATTAGTGCTTGTTCTAGTTTGATCTTTGTTCAAAATCTTGGAAAGCCCAAAATCCGCAATCTTTGTTGTGTGATTGGCATCAAGTAACACATTTTGGGGCTTGATATCACAATGTATGATTTGGGTGTGACACTCTTCATGCAAGTATAGTAAGCCTCTTGCAACACCAAGAGCCATCTCAATCCTTTGACCCCAGTGAGGCCTTCCTCCCTCTCCAAACAAAAAATCGGACAGTGCTCCGTTTGGCATCAACTCGTACACAAGAATTCGGTGACTACTCTCGAGGCAAAAGCCCAAAAGCCTCACCAAATTTCTGTGATGGGTACGGCCAATAATTTTGAGCTCAGTCATGAATTCACCTTCACTTTTCTCAATTTTCTTTTCCAGTTTCTTGACTGCAATACCAATCTCTACATCATCTATTATTAAAGCACCACGGTAGACTTTGCCTGAAGATCCCTTTCCAAGCATCTTAGTGAATCCATTCGTTGCTTCATGCAGTTCCTGGAACGTGAATTCTCTGAAGTTGATTCCGATAGCATTTGTATTCAGATACGTCTTCCTTCTTGTTAGTCTCTGAGTGAAAGGATGATAATAGACAGCAAGTGCACCAAAGAAACAGGCAAGAGTTGCAGTAACTGCAATCATAACCTTCAAAAATATTCTTACATTAAAACTCTTCTTGGGAACTTTAGTTTCCCGAGACTCAACATTGTTAGAAACTTTAAGTAGCGCTTTCTGCCTCTTTGAAGAAGAGCTATTCCTAGCATTCAGCAAGGGCAACCTCTTCTTGGCACATGTTTTGTCGGAAGCGTTATAAGTTGCAGCAATGATATTACAATCATCCATTACATACTTCTTACAACCTTCCCAATCAACATCAGTTATGTGTACAAAACTAGTATCAAATTGGAAATCAGTGTCCTCAAACACCTGCAGCTTGAAGTTTGTCTCTGCACAGTAATTGATCACTGCTGGTGGGTGACACCCTTTGGACACATCTTCATGATCCAACGGGATATAACCTGGAATGCACTCACACTTGGTTGATTCATTGTCAGAAGAAGTGCACAAGCCATACGCACCACAAACAGCATTCACTCTGCAAGGATCCTCCACAGCTCTCCAAACCCTCTTCCACCCGGTGCCATTCCTTTTGTGATATGCATATTGCTGGAAATTTCCATTCTCATCTATTGTAGCGCGGTGATAGTAATCATTCACCGGGGTTGGAGTGTTGTTGTGTAGAGAGTAGATGTTCCTTGAGCCGCTGACAAGGTACATGAGAGCACTAGTAGCATTAAACACCAAACTCACATTGCCTCCGGTTGAAGTGTACCAATAAGCAGGGTCTGACCATTGGTACGCTTTGAGAACCAAGTTTCCATCATTTTGCATTTGTAACATGAAATTCCCCCTTGAGTAGTTTGAAGCTCCTTTCCCCTTGGAATAGAGGATGTTGTTACTCGGCAAGGTTTGGTTCGGAAGGATTGTGTCGGCTGGAAACATGAAACTTTCCCACACAGATTTGAAGTTGTTATCCCTCATGACAAAATTGCCATCATCTTGCATGTTGGCAGAAGCTGCAGCACCACCGTTTCCTTCACTATATATGCTATAAGCGGTAGTTCCATTTGGGTATGCCACCACAAGTTGTCCTGCAGAAGTGAATTGGATTTGGGAATTTGGCTGCACAGGGGGACTCTGGTACCATACCAGTGTTCTATTTTTGGTTCTTCCAAACCATATTCCCACAAGAAAGAGATCATTGGGGAGAGCGTAGAATCCAAATTCAAAATCACCTGAGGGTGACTTCCATGTGGAATTTGATCCGGCAGTGATGCTTGTATTTGGTTCTATTTCTTTGGCATGTAAGCCATGCAAATGTGAAAGTGAAAGAAGTGCTAGAATACAAGGGAGAAAGATAGCTAAAGACATTGCATTTGATGTGGAGTGAGGGAAGAACAACGGGAAAGGTGTATAAAGAAATAATAACAAAAGAAGCTGATATGAATTGTCTTGTTCCATGTATGGTATTAATTGATTGCAAGTTGAAAAAAGAGGGTCTTCAAAGAAGCAGATAAGTTGGGCACAAGCAAATTTGTTCCACCTGTGCTGCTTGGAATTTTCTTGTCCAAGTAGATGGAGATGTTGGCAAGACCCATTCAAAGACCATAGAGTTAGGTATTATGGTGAATGAAAGTCACAAATGGTAGGCTAGAAATTTCTAGGCAATTATGCAGTGGAAGATTTTTGGCAGTGGGACATCCCATCCAACACGGGATAAGATTGCTTGACTAGCTTCTATAGCTACCAGGTCCACAAAGTTGATGATGATGATATACTTTGAAACAATCACATTTGTTTACTTGTTTAGATGTAGTGTTGTCACGCTCGGAACATGGAAATTTTGTCTCATTTTCCAGAACCTTCATTATGCAAATTTAGTACGGCATCAAATGTATATTTTAAACATTCAGAAACGGACTTCTGTCTAAGAAAATTAAGCAAAAGGAAGTGCTCTCTGTTGAGGGATTAGAAAAAAAAAAGGGAGGGGGAACTAATTGAGCAAGTAACGATTGAATTAATAAAAAATAATATATATAACAAGCAATTGAACATAATAATTTTATCAAAAATTAGTTGAAATAACTTCACCCATACTTACTCCTAAAATACAAACAAACAAACAAACAAGAAAACGGATCATATTTTCATTGCAAGCTGCATCATTGGCCTATCAATCAATTGAGTGGTGGAATACCCACTTCTATGTTACCTTCCAACATGTGTACCACCATTTTCATAGATGGTCGAAGAGTTGGATTGGGATTTATGCACCATAAACCAACCATTGTCATTCTTTCGAACCTCTTGAAATCACTTTCTACTTCAAGATCATGAATCACTGCGGTTCCTAAATTGTTTTCTTTAACCAGATATAGAACCCAATCTATGAGTATCATGTCATCACCCGTTGTACCATCCTCAATTTGATGCAACTCAATGTGCCTTCTGCAAAATATGATTTCCAACAACATGACACCAAAGCTGTAGATATCAACCTTTGAAGAAACTGGTGCATTTTTGAGCCACTCTGGTGCCATATATCCCATTGTCCCTCTAGCATTGGTGTTTGTTCGAGTTTTATCTTTCATGAGTAGCTTTGCCAGTCCAAAATCTGAAATCTTTGCAGTGTAACTAGAGTCAAGAAGAACATTCTGAGGCTTTATGTCACAATGGATGATTTGTTGGTCACACTCTTCATGCAGATATAATAAGCCTCTGGCAATTTCAAGCACAATTCTGACTCTACTCTCCCAGCTGGGTTTACCCCCTTCTCCAAAAAGAAAATTGGATAGTGTCCCATTTTCCATTTTCTCATAAACCAGAAGCCTATGATTCTGCTCATTGCAAAAGCCTAATAACCCAACAAGATTTCTATGATGAGTGAGAGCAATAACTTGAACTTCTGTTACGAATTCTTTCTCACCTTGGTCTTCTATTTGCTCCAATTGTTTGACAGCAACCTCAACATGTTGACCCTCCAAGATTAAAATCCCACTATAGACTGTACCATAGGCACCTTGACCGAGTTTGTTCTTAAATCCATTTGTTGCTTCTCTTAGCTGCTGGAATGAGAATGCCTTTAGATTGATATCCACAGGCTTTGGCTTTGGCTTTGGCGGTGTCCTTTTGTGTATGAGATACAGACAAAAGGGGTGATGATATATGGCAGTAGCTGCAAACAATACAGCAAGTAATGAGCAAAGGATGGGTGCCACTATCAAAACAACCAAAGACGATGAATCCTTTTCATTGTCAACCAGAGGAACTTTAATCAGCATCACAAGATTACTGGTGTCTGGGATGATTCTATCAGCATTTATAATTGGAAACTTTTTCTTATTGCAAGCCGTGCCATTGAAAACAGCAGCCATGCAGAGACAGTCATCCAACAGTTCCCTCTTGCAGCTTTCCAGATCCGCGTTATTTATGACTTGTAGATCAAGAAAAAAATAGCCAGGGTTTGGTATATCAGCATCTTGAACTTCTTTCACTTCCACCTTGAAGTCTGGGGAAGAGGAATTTGCAGCACACAAGTTCTTGGCCTGACTAAGATAGCAACCTTTGGAGGGTGCACTTAGATCAAAAGGTGTATAGCCAGGCAAGCATTCACACCTGTATGTTTCGGTGTCAGAACCAATTGTATTGCAAAAGCCATATACCCCACAAAGGGCTGTCACAGTGCAAGGCTTTGTTATGGCATTCCACATAACTTTCCACTCACTTCCATTTTCTTTTGGGTAAATCAACTTCTGAAAATTTCCCTGGTCATTGACCAGCACATGATGGTAGTAATCTTCAATT